CGGGGTGTTCTGGAAGGAGAACATCCAGAAACACCAGCACATAGAAGCTGTTGACATGGGCAAGGAATGAATCACTCTCCTTAGGTCACAAGTGAGAAAACCAAGCTCAATGGACAGAAGGGACCATGACCCCAAACCTACTGTTTCCCTGCACAGGCCACTGAGCCCTTCAAACCTGATATGTAAATGTGCACAGCCCAGCTGCCCAGTGAGTCCAGACCAAGTCCTCTGCCTTAGGGCCACCATGCTGTGTCCCACACCCTTCAGGCTGGAGGATTTGAATCCCAGGTCTACCACTTCCCAGCTGAAAATAGCAAGTTATTGAACTCCTCTGGGCCTCAGTCTCCTCCTCTGTAAAATGGGCACGGTGATCCCCCTCAATGTGGTGGTGATTGTGAAGATGAAGGGAATTGTGGGTACAATACGTTCTTCCCTCACCACAACCTCCCCCAAGTTGGGTGTGGGAGCCTTTGTTCCCTGAGATACCCCGGGTTCCTTGGGGTCCTCTTAGCAGAGTCATGAGCTATCAGCATCCACGTCCTCCTTGTGTCCTCTTCAGGTCTCTTCGAGCCGGGGGACATGCAGTATGAGCTGAACAGGAACAACGTGACTGACCCGTCACTCTCTGAGATGGTGGAGGTGGCCATCCAGATCCTGCAGAAGAACACCAAGGGCTTCTTCTTGCTGGTGGAAGGTAGGGACCCCAGGCCCACTGAGAGGGAGCTTCTGAAAACAGCCCTGGGGTCAGGGAATGCGGTGGTCCAGCTCTTAAAGAGAATTGTCCAGTTTTGGGTTGAGGGGAAAATTCCCTTTGGGAGGCTGGGCTGTGAATTGGGGGGTTGGGGTGGTGTGGACACTCCTAGCCCAACAAGCTGCTCTCCTTTGGGCATGGAGATGGCATGTCAGGCTTACCAGTCCAGGAAGGTTTCCTGAGAGAGGAGGTAGGCTTCTTCCTTTTGGGGGTCTCCCTCAAGACCTGGCTCTGGAGGGGTGTGCAGCCCATCAATGTCACTCCTCTGAAAGGCGAGTCAACGGGCCCTGGCCCTCCCGTGCTGCGTGCTGACGTTCCCGGGGTTCCCAGCGCTGTCCAGAGCCCTGGAGTCAGACCTGAGTTCGTGTCCTGGTGCTGCCGTCTGCTGGCTGTACAGCCCTTATCTGTGTATTTCCATCAAATGAGGCCAGAAATAATCCCCCTCTTCTAGAACGGTGTTTAGCCTCCATTGCGTTCAGAGACAGAAAGTACCTGGAACAGGACTCAGAAAAGAATCAGTCCTCAGTGTTTCTGTTATTATCATTATTCTGATTACACAATAGCTAAGTCAGTAACAATAGGAAGTGTGAGGAAGTGATAAAGATTCCAGAATTTTCCAAAGTTCTAATAGCCATTGTCCTGCGTGGTTCCTCATGATGCCTGGCTGAGATCTGCATGTACACACACTCACGTGCATACACACACGTGGACAGATTTGTACATAAGCCCTCACAAACATACGTACACACTCAGGCCCCTCTGCCTTCCAGAGGCCCGTGGCCGCCAGCGCAGCTCAGCTGCTTTCTTGCCAAACCCCGGGGTTCCCACTCAAGCACGGCGGTCTCGGCCTGGCCCTCAGCAGGCCTCTGACGCCGAGGAACCAGCCAGGAGCCAGCGGTGGCGAGCACGGGCTCCCCCGGGAGCGGTCCTCTTTGTGAGCAAGGCCAGGACAGCCCGCCAGGCCAGCTGCTCCCAAAGCCACAACAAAGGGAAGGCCCGCCCTGCCAGCCTGCCAGGCCAGCGGCGAGGCCCAGGCTGGTGGGAGGAGAGGGCGGCCTGGCGCCCGGGCTCAGGACCCTCAGAGCTGGGAACGTCCACCCAGGCAGCCACCTCCTCTTGCAGGGGGGAGGCGTTACCCCAAGGTCACCACCCTCAGCCACTAAGTCGAGCTTAAAGCCAGGCCCTTGCACTCAGCCATAGGGAGGTGTCATGGGATCCAGGCTTCAATAGGCATTTACAGAAGCCTGCCAGGGGCACTGCCCGGGCACCAAGGACTTTCAGCACCGAGGACTTTTGGCCCCCTTTGGGAGTGAGAGGCTCCTGAACTTTCTGCTTCCAGAGGTGGAGATGCTTCAATAGGCATTTACAGAAGCCTGCCAGGGGCACTGCCCGGGCACCAAGGACTTTCAGCGCCGAGGACTTTTGGCCCCCTTTGGGAGTGAGAGGCTCCTGAACTTTCTGCTTCCAGAGGTGGAGATGGAAAAACAGGGACTTTAGAATGAGTCACAACTGGAATCAAGTCCCACCGTGGGCACATCGCTTCTCCACTCTAGGCCTCAGTTGCCCCATTTGTAAATGGGGCTGATTGTATCCCTCTCTGCCCAGGATTGCTGTGAAGGGGAAACAAGGCAACCGTTTGTTATGCCCGGCACGTAGTAGGGCATGTTCCCCTGCCCTGCGTCCCTGAAGTCCTCAGCAGCTCCTTCCAGCAGCTGAGGAGATGGTGCTGGGAGCAGGGGGTCGTGGGAAGAGCACAAGCTCTCCTTCCAGTCCTGTGGGTCTGCCTTTCAACCCTGGCTTCACACCTGCCATACGTGAGCCCTTGGCCCCGGGACTCTCTCCCGGGCCTCCGGGAGGGTCGAATGTCTGCATGAGATGCCTGAGATGCGGTGCTGGCACACAGTAGTTCCTGGTGAAGGTTCCTGTCCTGCCCCCTCAAAGAAAGGTCATCATGGGGCTGGGTGTGCAGGTCTTCTTTCCCCCCCCTCCCCTGAAGCCTCTGCTTTGGTGTCCCAAGGAGGCAGGATTGACCATGGGCACCATGAGGGCAAAGCCAAGCAGGCACTGCATGAGGCGGTGGAGATGGACCGGGCCATTGGACAGGCGGGCACCATGACCTCTGTGGAAGACACGCTGACCGTGGTCACTGCTGACCACTCCCACGTCTTCACCTTTGGCGGGTACACCCCTCGTGGCAACTCTATCTTTGGTAGGTGGCCACTGGGCACTCCCAGTCTGCCCATCTGGGAGCGGGAGTGGGGTGGGAGGACCATCAAGCCCAGCACATGGTGGGGACTCAGTGGTGACTGGGTAGGGAGGACAAGTCACTGCTGGTGGGATGGGAAGTTGCAGGATGAGGGCAGGGAGTGAGCTGAGAGCATGAAGGGGTGGACGGCGGGGTGGGTGGATGGATGGCTGCGTGGACGATGGGTGGAAGAGAAGACGTTTTAGAAGAATGGGAGAGAGGATGGATGGACGGATGGCTGGGAGGGGTGTGCGCACAGTGAACGTTGGGGGATGGCTGGCTGCAAGTAATAGGGTTTGGCAGGTGGCTTCATGGAAGTGGTTCAGAGCCCTTCAAAGAGGATCTCGGGGGTTGCTAAGCCACGAAGGAGCCCAATCTGGTGGCTGGAGACTATACTCCTGGTGCTCCAACATGACCCTTGGATACCCTCCCTATGCAGGTCTGGCCCCCATGGTGAGCGACACGGACAAGAAGCCCTTCACTGCCATCCTGTATGGCAATGGGCCTGGCTACAAGGTGGTGGATGGTGAGCGAGAGAATGTCTCCATGGTGGACTATGGTGAGACTGCCAAGACCCAGGCTGGGAGGGCACAGGGCACCCCTCAGAGATGGGCTTGGGAACAGCGTGTAAGCTTGTGATCAAGGTCAAGGGTCTCAGAACAGCAGGGACTTGAGTCAGCACAATCTTAATTTGAATCCCCTTCTATGGTTTAGCAGCTCTGTGACCTGGGGCATATAACCTCACCTTTCTCCTCTTCCATTTCCTCCATAAAAAGGTTCTACGTTCCGGGGTTGTCTGAAGAACTCAATGCATCTGCGAGCTTAACATGATGCCTGGCACTGTCATTTTTACTGGCTGTGTAATATTCCAATATATAAGCCCTTGCAGTTAGTTTACCCAATTCCATATTGCTGAATGCTCATTTGTTCTTGATGCCCCCGTGGTACCCAGGGGTCTGATGGTGCAGCTAGGGGTGAGAGGCTGTCTCTCAGTTGATTCTTCCCTGCTAATGCAAAAGGCCTGCGTGAGGTTAATTTTCTCTGTGGGGGACGGCGTGCAGGCCTCTGTGTCAGAACAGACTCAGGTTTGAATCCTGTGGCCTCGGGCAAAATGACTTCCCTGCACTGTGCCTCGGTTTTCTCTTCTGTAAAATGGGGGCATTCGGGCCAGCCTAGAAAGGGCATGGAGAAGGTGCACGCACAGTGCCAGGCCCCTGGCAAGCTCTCAGCAAGCATTTCTTCTGGCCCACAGCTCACAACAACTACCAGGCCCAGTCTGCTGTGCCCCTACGCCACGAGACCCACGGTGGGGAGGACGTGGCAGTCTTCGCCAAGGGCCCCATGGCACACCTGCTGCACGGCGTTCATGAGCAGAACTACATCCCCCACGTGATGGCTTACGCGGCCTGCATCGGCGCCAACCTCGACCACTGCGTCGCGGCCAGGTCGGCGAGCAGCCCCGCTCCGGGCCCCCTGCTGCTCCTGCTGGTCATGCTCCCCCTGCGCATCTTGTTCTGAGGGCCCAGGGCCCGGGCACCCACAAGCTCACAACAGATGGCCAGCCTCCCACTCCCGGTGCTGCCCATGCGCGGCAGCCCACACCTCAAGGGGCAGGGAGGCGGAGGCCTCCGTGGCCTCTGCAGCTGCCAGAAAGGGGACCCAGGAGAGCAAAGTCTGCTGCCCGCCTCACTCCCCTCTGGAATCCTCCACAAGTGCCAGACTGATTTCTGGCCTCTGGCCTTTGCTCCCTCCCTGCTGCCCTTTGGCCAACAGGGTAGGTTTCTCTCGGGCAGACAGAGAGCACAGACTGCAGAAATTCTCAAAGCATCTTATTTTTCTAGCAAATGTATTTCTCCAGACCCAGAGGCCCTGCAGCCTCCATGGAACATTCCGGATCTGACCCTCCCACTCCTCTCTCCTTCCCTCTGGAACCCACCAGGCCCTGCCATCCTCATGTCCCTGTCCCCAATCCCAGCCCGCTCTGCAGGGGAGACCAGGTCTCTTTCCTTGGATGGGGGTTTGCTCACTCACTCACTCCAAGGCCGCCCAGGACTCCCAGCAAGCCAGCTCCTGGGACCGGCCGTCCAACCCAGGGTGGCCAGGGCTGGGAAGAGCAGCCTGGCCAAGCATACACCCCCCAGCTCCAAACACACATGCCAGCTCCTCTCTGAAGTGACTCTCCTGTTTGGAACAGCAAAAAAAATTTTCTCTTTTTGGTGGTGGTTAAAAGGGAACACAAAACATTTAAATAAAACTTTCCAAATATTTCCAAGGACAGAGCTGAGTCTTTGTGGTCAGTGAGAAAGAGACTGGGATAAGTTCATTTCTCCGGGAAGAACTAGACTCAGGGCCCAATGGTGCGGGTGGGTTGGCAGGGAGGTAGGGGCCTCTGTTGGCCTGGGGGCTTCATGCTCATTACCTGGGTGATTTGGACAAATCGCTTTGTGTCTCCATGTCTCAGTTTTCTTATCTGTAAAATGGGAGACAGCCTACTCCTGGGTTGCCATGAGGATTAAAGAAGAATGCCTCTGTGAAAACCCACAGCAGTGAGGACTTCCAGGGCCCAGTGGCACCCCTGCTGCACGGTGCCCACAGCCAGCACTACATACCCCAGCCCACTGCAGCTGCTCTGTCATCTCATTCATTCAGTAGATATTGAGGATGTGCCAGGCACTGGGTTAGGTCTTAAAAATTTCCTGCTGAACAAGACAACCAGGCTCTGCCCCACAGAGCTCCAGCCTAGCTTTCCATTCCTGGCATTCAGACTTGGGTACTGCACTCGGGAGTGCACCTGTCATTGGGGGGTATGGAGAATTGCCCAGCTTTGCCCTTCTTGCCTCATTGGAATGAAAGTCCCTGGAATGATAGTAATCATAATAATTAACACTGGTCATTGACTATATGCCAAGCTCTGTGCTTGATGCTTTCTTCATATGGATTCATTTTATTTAATCCACACTAGGAAGTAGGTCCCCACCATCCACATTTATATCTGAGGACACCAAGCATGCAGGAGGTGATGTGATTGCCGAAGGTCCCCTATGTTGTGGAGCTGGGATTTGAATCCAAGTCTGTCCTATTCCAAACCTCCTGTACTTAAATGACATCCTTTATTTGTTTATAATGCATTCCCAACTTCCTGCCAACCAGGTACTGAGGCAGCCAGTACTAGTGACTCACAACACACACTGATTAAACATGAAGTCAGACAATGAGAAGCCGTATGTCTTAAGTGGACATCCTTCAGGACTGAAAATGCAACTGAGCAGATTTCTCTCTGAGCTTCCTAGCAGTCCTGGCAAAAAGGGAAGCTCAGTCAAGCTGGTGCTGGAATAAAAAATGCAACTATGTGCATATGTTCTCGCCTGGAGGAAGAGACATGTCGTTGCATTGAACCATACCGTGTAGTTCTCAGCTGTTATTCTCATATCTCTGTATAATTACCTCCTAAACACTTCTTGAAACTCACATTTGAGCCAAAGTTGATTTTTAAAAGTTCACCAGTACCTCCTGAAGTCAACTTATATGTCTCAGGGCTGTGCAAACCATACTTTGTATTTTAGATTGGGTTTCCCAGAGGAAGCCCCTCAGGCAAGGATTTGAGCAGAAGTAGCTTGTTTATAGGAGGAACCCAAAAAGCACCAGGGGGGAGCGGCAAGCAAGGCAGGACAGAGGAGGACGCTGAGAAAGGTGCGTTATTAAGGAGTTTCCTCGGTGGATATGGGCTCAATTCTGTGCTAGGTGCGGAGCATCAGAGAAGTTGAATACCTTGCCTAAGTTCATAGCATCAGGAACATGGTGGAGCAGAGACAGAGACCCCACCTCTCTGACCCACAGCCCATGCTTTCTAGCCCCATCCTAGAGTGAGTTGCCTTTGTGGGCAACTGAGGCTCAGTCCCACTGTGGACCTCTGGGGGATGGTGTAGGAGACACACTTCCGAGCTATCCCACCTAAGGGGCAAGGGAGCTGGGGGGTTATTCTTCAGTTCTCAACCCTCACTGGCTAAGGGCTGCTCCTGGGAAACTTAACACTGGAGCTGCTGACCTGCCCCTCGAAGGGTTGAGAGAAAGCCCCCAGGCATGGTGCAGGGACATCAAATGCTCAAAGGACACAAACCAACAGCATCTTTAGGGTACACGGATGGGGCTAGAAAGCATGGGCTGTGGGTCAGAGAGGTGGGGTCCCCGTCTCTGCTCCACCACGTTCTTGGTGCTATGAACTTGAGCAAGGTCTTCAACTTCCCTGATGCTCCACGCCTAGCACAGAATTGAGCACATACAGCCCTTAGGATCAGGAGCTCTTCCTGACCTGGTTCCAGGCTGTGTGACGACTCGTCCTTCAGGAAGCAGGCAGCGACATGCCTCAGGCACTCACTGCTCAGTCTTCCCACGCCTCCCCCGCAGGCTGGGCTCTGGGTCATTCATCAACCTCTCTTTTAACTGTTCTGGGCTCTGAGTCCCACTCCAAGCCAGGCGTCCAGGCAGAGGTCCCGTCTCCATCCACCAGCACCCATGGCCACAGAACCAGACGCCACAGCTGACAGTCAGTACCCATGGCACGAGGGTGTCCACTGCCCTCAGATGCTGTCTCAGGGAGGAAAAACAAAGATGAGCTGACGAATCCTCTTCTATTCACTGAGATAACCCTGTCTTCTGTAAAAGATAAATCCAGAAACCTCAATAACTTGACACAGTAAAAATTAATTTCTATCCCAAATATCCAGTGATGCCCCTGCCCAGGTGGCCAGAACCCAGGCTCCTTCCACCTTGTGGCTCTGCTCTAAGTTCTGGATGTCCTTTCTCTCTGACCAACACCTCGATGGGGGAACCAGCACAACTGCTTTTTGACCACTTCTGGAAGTGACGCACATCACTCCCACTCATAGTCCCTCGGTGCGAAGCGGTCATAAGCCCACCTAGATGCAGAGGAGAGAGGGGAATGTAGTTTTCGGCTGGGCAGCTGCTCCCACCATCAACATCACAGCAGGTTCTCACCCTTGGCACAATGGATATTTGGGACAGGATAATCCCCTGTTGTGATGTTACCCTGTGCACTGCAGGATGTTTTGCAGCATCCGTGACCTGTACCCACTAGGTGCTGGGGACACAATCGCCCCTGAACCTCTGCTCTGTAGTAAGGAAGCGGCGTGGGAAGCTCAGTGGTCAGCTTTGCTCATGCTCAGCACGGCCTCCAGCTCACATGCCCCCCTAGACATCACTGAGCACCACACAGAGTTTGAAAACACTGGGAAATTTCACATAAGATCTGGATTTCTGGCTTTTTGGAAAAATTGGAAGATCTGGCCAGCAGTGGACCCCATGTTTCTGCAGGGTCAGTTGGAGCTGGGAGGCGGCTGCCCATCAGGATATAGCTCTCCTTTGTGCCACAGCCCCCAGCATTCCCTGTATTCTGACACTAAGACCCCTTGGACGGAACTCACCTGTCTGGTCATGGTGGAGACTGAGCTTGTGACCCCTGCCTTATTGAGTGTCATGCCCTGAGCTGGGCCTGGGCGGCAGAACAGCAAACAAGCCTGAGGCTCTCTCCTCAGGCTCATATCTCGTGACAGAGACCTCCAGGGTCCACCCCAGTGTGTGGGGAAGTAAGGTGCTATGGGGGCAGGGAAAGGGGCACAAGAGTGGGCACAAGGGTGGGCACTGAGGCAGAGAAGACAGCGAATGAGCTGAGGCTTGACAAGTGGAGCGGACCTGGGGCATGAGGGTGTAGGGGGGAATTCAGAAGGAAACATTGTGGGGAGAGGTGAGCTTGGAGAGGTGGACAGGAGGGCCTCGAATGCCATCCCCAAAAGCTGGGGGTTGACCACGAACGTCCTGGGGAGCCATAAAAGGCCGTGGAGCTTGGGAATGAGCATCATTTCTGAAAGATCATCCTGGAAGCTGGTTTCAGGGGTGGCTTCAGGAAGAGGGACTGGAGGCTGGGACTGGAGACCCATCTGGAGGCTGTTACAATAGACCACGCAGGAGAAGCTAAGGCCGTGGAGATGGGGAGGAGGAATAAGCCCCAAATACGGGCCTGAATATCACTCCTATTTGTCAGAAAGGAAGCTGGACAAGCATATGAAAGATTAGATTGTCAGCAAACCAAATGCTCTGAGACGGAGAGCAGGAGGCAGCAGGGTACCTACTATGTGCCACACACCCTACTAAGTGCCTGAGACATGGCAGTGAAGTTGTCACCTTGAGGGTACATTTTCCATACACCCCCTACCATTCTGTGAGGTGGGCAGTTTCATCCCTTATTGTACAGATGGGGAAGTTGAGGTTTGGCAGGTCAGAGTGATTTGCTCCAGAGCCCATGGATTGTAGGTGACAGCTGGAAGTTGAACCTGGGTCTGCATGGCTCCCAATCCATGTTCTCCCCCTTGCCTCCAGGGCACTAATCCCTCTAAGGAAAACAACCCCAGCCCCATCAGCCATAGAATCACAAGCTCCCTCAGCACCCCCAGAAGCCCTACTGTGGGAGTGGTGAGAGTCCCAAGACAGCAGTGTTTATAATTAGCCCTGGTGGCTAAACTGAAGACCTCCCACCAAGATCTAGCCCCAGCCGACCTCAGAGAGCAGGGATTAAGTTCTCAGAAGAGGATTTGGCCTTCCTCTGGGTCTCCCTGTGATGCTGCCTTGATCATGGCACCAGGCCCTATCATGGTATCTGGCTCCTCAGCAGTCCGTGAGAACCTTGGGATGGGGTGGGCACTCGTGCCCCGCCAGCCAAGCAGGGGGCAGGCCAGTGCCACCTCTCCCTCCTGCCCATTGGAACTGAGACTCAGGATCATCAAGGCAGTGGGCACACAAGTGCAGGCACAACAGGGAATACTTCTGTGGCATTCCTGAGTACCAGACACTGTCCCCAAGTGCCTCACTGCACACATTAACCTATTTTCCTCCAAATACCCTCGAGGGCAGGGACTGTTGTGATCCCCATTTTGCAGAATTTCTGTTCAGTAACTTATCGGAAGCCACACCACTAACAAGGCACAGAGCCAGGACTGGGAGCCAAGCAGCGAGGCTGCAGAGTGCAGGAGTTAATCACGCCATGCGTCCCATGCATCCTTCAGCCTCGGGCAGGGCTGGACTTCAGGAGGGCTCTTCCTCTTCCCCGACAGCGTCTCAGGCAAGTCGCTTCTCCTCCAGGTGCGTAAGTTCCCTGTGCAGTGACTTACAGGAACCCATGCATCCTTCAGCCTCGGGCAGGGCTGGACTTCAGGAGGGCTCTTCCTCTTCCCCGACGGCGTCTCAGGCAAGTCGCTTCTCCTCCA